TATTTTCTTTTGCTAACAAAGGGAACCCTTGTCTGGGAGCATTCAATCACCGACTCTCCTGAAACCTCACTAATAGCGTTCATTTATGTTTGGCGCGAAATCAGACCCCGGCTCAGTGCATGGGCCGGGGGCAGTCTTGAGAGGTTTTGTCTTCTGGTTCATTCAAGCCCTGGAGGCATCATTTCTGGGTCCTAGTGGGCTGGCCTGACTACCGCAGCGCCCAGTCCCTTAGAGCAGGCCAACTGGAAGGCTGCTGGAAATGGGAAACTGGGAAGGACATGGGCATCCAACAATACCCGATCTGGGGGCCTTATCCAGCCTCACCTTGCACAACAGCAACAAGCCATTGGATGCCCTAATTTTGCTGCCACCTCATCCCTCAAGCTATCTGCTACCCTCGCTTGCCTTCTAACTAGGAAATGGTCAGCCAACTTTCAGGGATGAAGAGAAGTCGCTGGGGAAGGGGACTCTCTGGGCCCTGGCTTGGAGGAGGACTGGGACTCTGCCAGACAGGTGGCTTCCACAGCCCTATCCCTGCTCCACTACCCCTTCACCAGGCCCAGGTAGCCTCCCTATACTCCAGCCTGCTCCAAACCAGCCCTCCATGGCTGTCCCGCATCCATGCAATCCTGCTGATAGCACCAAGAGAGGCTACCAAATAGCTGACAAGTCTCCTGACCCTTAGGCTTCAGGGCTCCCTAGCACACTGAACAAGTGGCCGAAAACCAGCAGCTAGCTGCCCTCTGCCACCACCTCAACCTGCAGCCCCCACTCTCCATCAGGCACTCGCGACTCAGAATCCATGCTAAGGCCCTTTCTCTTGTTCAAACTCCCCTTCTATGTGCCCAAAGGGAGTGCCCCCTGGCCTTGGGGCTCCTGGTGTAACCCTGAGCAAGGTGGGGCTTAGCTACCCTGCAGGTTGCCATTCAACTTCGCCCCAGAAATATCCACTAAGCCACCATCCGCTGCCCACTCCTCCCCTCTCCGCGACGCTTAGGAGTATTGTAATTATTATGGTTATTATTATTGTTGCTATTTCCTTATCCCCAAGTCAAATATTCATGGCTGCTGTTCCCCATAAATCGTTCAGACTAATGGTCACAAAGAGATGCTGCCCAGGTCTCTCCTTCCGCAATGGCCGCCGCCGCCGCTGTGGCCTCTCTCCCGGCGTTTTTGGCGCTCGCTTGCTCCCTCACTCGCCCGGCGCGGGTGATTTATGAACACCGGGAAAATTGAACAAAGCCGCGCGCCAGTCCTGTGGCATCTCTGCAGCCTTCCCCAGTGTGAATCACAACATTACCAACTGTCTCCGCATCCGTCCCACTTCATCACCAAAGCCAGGATGTGACCGCAGAAAACCCGAGCCCGAACTCACGTTTCCGCGGACTCGGCGCGCTCCCCGGACTCGCAGAAACCCTGCAGAAAAAGCCGCAAGACCCCGCGTGGGCCCGCCAGCTCCGGTCCTCCCCGCTGAAGGGCTCTCTCAGCCCTCCTGAAGGAGTTAAAAGCCTTTGGAGATAAATCTGAGGAAGTGTGTTTTTAAAAATCTAATAGGAAGTTGGGGTCTCACTTCTGAGAGATTCATTCCTAGTGAGGCCCTGACGACTCCGATCCATTCCTGACGATCCGCATTAATTATTTAATGAGTCACGTGACCTCAAAGATTACAATTTCAATATCTCCCTCGAACAGCCGCTACACCTTTATCTGCTGCAACCAGGGTCCTTGTTTGGCTTTTTTAGTTCCCAGGCCTCCGGAACGCAGATGCCGTTCCCTGGGTCCGGCTCCTGGCAAGCAACCGCCACCGAAATCCAAGGGTGAGCATAGAATTAGTCACTCTGGGACTGTGAGAATTGTGGACAGTGGGGTGCCCACCGCTCTCCCAGACACCCTGACGTCCCTCCCCTCCTGAGCCCAGAGGTCAGCCCACCTGCCTCAGCGTTCTGGCTAAGGTGGTTTGGCTACATAATCTCCCGGGCCGCTCTGATGGCGCAACAGGCAAGAACCCACCCTTCCTCCCTGGCCGCAGCACACCTGTGGCCCTCCATGTCAAGTGTAAGCCCAGATGCACACGTCCATTCCAAGCAGAATAGGCTTCCGCAGAGGAAAGATGCCTGTGCACTTACCCCTAACCAAGGCGAGACCGGAAGGCTCTTTCAACCTACACACTCATTAACATAAATATTAACATAAAGAGCACGGGGTGGGGGGGGAGCATTCAGGTGCCTCAGTTTCCTCATTGGTAAACTGAGAAGATTGAACCAAAATGGCTTCCAGATATCTTGGCCTTGGACATTCTTTCAATCAGGGAATCTCTTTTAGTCACAGGAATCAATCCCAGAGAAAGTGGCATTTGCCTGAAAGAGGGGAGAAGGATAGTCCATGAGTTTGGGCTCTTAAGGAGAAGAGATGCTAGAATTTCAAGACAGAAGTTTCAGACTAGGATGTTTCACAACAGCCCTAGCAGCCTCCCTGATGCTATCAAAGAGTTAGAACTCATGTCTCTTCCTCCTCTTATTTTTCTCAGCCTATACTCTTTGAGAGGAAGCAGAGCTATTCTTGGGCCAGTGTATAATCTAGAGAAGGGGCAAGAGAAGCAGTGGTTGGGAAGCATGAGACTTGAAGGGTGTTCTTCAATACAGGATGGCAGCTAGGGATGCAGAGACTAAGGGAGTGCGAAGAACAGCCTCTTGCCTACACAGAACCCACTCATTCAGACAGGATGCCCCACGTTTCTGTTTGCTACATTGATTCTTTGGGGTTTTTCTTTCCTTCCATTCTAGACTCATTGATCTGTTTCTATGTTGAAACTGCTGAAGGGAAGCCAGCAGTGAGAAGAGCAGAACAGTTTGGAAGCTTAGGGGAGCAAGGGGACAGAGGAGAGATGATGATACCCACCCCATGGACAGGAGGCTAAGAGGTGGGTGGGGAATGTGGGCACCCTGGGACAGCTGGGTACAAAGTCAGAGACGCTGTGCGCCAAGGGCCCACTCCCCATATACCATATATCTAGGTAATCCTCCCATGAGCTCCATCCTGGGTATTAAGTACTCTACTATGTCTGTCACAGTTGAATTCCTGCTGTAATAAAACACCGGGTATATCGTAGATTTCAGCAAAACTAGGAAAGAGAGCCTGCAAAGTGCCATTTTTCTTCAGCGGGGAGAGTGGTAAGTACTTAATTCAAACTGTGACCATTAAAGTGTCTCCTATCCGATTTAGGTTGATTTCAGATGTTAACAAAACTTTTATCTCCGGAGTCATGCACAGCTTGGCTCTGTGACTAAAGCAGATGAGTGTGCGTTAGAGGGAAGGAGGGAGAAAGAGAGAAAGGAGAGGGGAGCATGTGTAAGGGTCATTTGGGTAGGAGAATTATAGAGCTTACACAAAATACTGTCTTTAAAGGTCAAGGGTTTGAGGGGCCAGTAGGGTTTGCTTAAAAAAAAAAAAAACAATTAATGAGATAGAAAATTTGTCCTCTGGGTGAACTCTTACGGTTGCCCTAGCAAAGCGCAGACAATGCACGATTTTAAAGCATGAAGTGGGATTTTCTAAGCTGTTATAACAAGCTCCCTTAAAACCCAAAACTGAAACAGGCAAAACACTGTGAAGAAATGACACAATCATTTGGATCATTCTGGATCATTTTGGCTTTGTAAAATTTACCAATACCTTAATAATCAGTTTGTCCAAAGACAGTTTGGACAAAAATGCCATTTTGTCCCGGAATATTAGAAAAACAATCTCAATTCTCTCTTCCTTTCTTGGACAGATATACGAGTAGGTGAAAGAAAGTTACCCTTTTTATCCCTAAACAACTGCCTCCAGTATGAAGCTAATGAATGCCCCCATACCCAGACTTCCCTACAAAGGAGAAATACAAGAATTTACCTTAAATGATGATAATCTGCCATTTGAGGTTTTGTAGCTCAACACTCAATTTCCACCAAGAGTCTAGGCATTTTTTGAGCAGACAGCCAAGATGCTGTGTCTTTGCCCGAGACCACATTATTTGCAAGAAGATCCCTCGCTTCTCCACAGACTTTTCCCAGAGAATGCCTTTCAGAATTGCTGTTGAATTACAAAGAAGTATTTATTGTACGAGGTGATTAATGATTCCTGGGAAAATTGCTATTTTCAGCGTGATTTAATTTCGTTTTACAAGTGCGTGTAGTAGGGGAGGGTTAATAAGTTTCAGCAGCAGTTGCAGTGCCTCCAGAAATCCCTGGCACCCGTTCACACCTTATAAAATGCACTTTAGGCCAGGTTTGGCCTGACTCGGGAAGGCATGTATTTGTTTGCCCCTGAATTTTCTTAGGGAGAGGTGGAAGCCCCTCAGAGACTAGTGTCCATCACTTTCCTCTCAGATCTGGTTTGTTCACAGGTAGAGAACTGATGACCCGTGCCTGTATCACACATAGGGCAGCAGAGGCAAAAGGAGTAACAGCAGTGACCACTGGCTAAGGACTTGCCACTGATGGAAAAATGTGTTTAAAATTCCTCTGACATTGCAGAGGTAGGTGAGTGCTGCCCCTTCCCATCTCTGCTAAAATTATTATGTGAACTAAAAACCACACTCATTCAAGGCCAGGTGACAGTTCTAATACTCTGGGGCTAGTGTGTGTTGGTTTTCTGTCTCTTGTTGCAGATTGCTCCCTTCTCTGACAACCAAGTCTAAGTCCTCCTTGTCAATTTGTAAATCAGTAAACAAATACTAGGGTTATGGAGATTTAGAAGTGGGCTTTGATTTTCAACCTTTTGAATCTAGATCTCTAGGTTGGGCAGAAAGATCCGGGAGCATTTGAGGAAAGTGACCCTAGTTCAGAGTTTGGCTTTCTTCCAACACTTAATACTCTGAGGTCTACCTTGCTTGGGGTGCATTTTGGGAAGTCATTATGGGTTTTTTTTTCCTCAGAAGAAACTTTGGAGGGTGTACTGGGAAAATTCACTTTATTTTGAAAGTTCTTGCTTCAAAAAAAAAAAAAGAAAGAAAATAAACAAGAAAACAAACAAAAATTCCCAAGCTGTAGTTAGTGAAGAGAACCTTAAAAACAGCCAAGAAACAAAAAGCAATCTCAACCCTTTGCACAAACTATTTTTTATCTCCAGGGAAACAGGCAGATTAAGTGTGAAGGTGCAATAAATACCACAGGGACCACTTCTTTCCAAGTGTGCTCAGAGTTCAGCGTGTAGAACAGCTGCAGAAACTCCTGGACCCGGAGCACTGCATGGTTTCACCTTTCACTGCCGGGAAGGACACGTTTCTATGCCTTACAGAGACTTGAAGCCTGAAAGCCTGGCCAAGTTTGGGAAGAAGAGGAGCCCTCTCAGAGCTCAAGAGCCTTCATGCTCTTTGGAACTTTTCCCACAGTGGGTCAAGCTTGACAAGAGTTCAGCTCAAGTTGAATACACTCACGCAAATTATGTGAGCAGTCAGAATCCAAGTGAACACAAGTCAAGCCATCTACAAGATTGTTACAGGCAAGGTCAAGCATCTCAATTCAAAGAACTTTTGTGTTTTTAATTAAAAGTAGGAAACACACAAATATGTCTTAGAACTTTAATTTTTTCAAACAGTTTATTCTTAGCACATGGCTTTCTATATAGCCACACCACGATTTGTACAGCTGCACATGGGTCTAAATGCACTCCCCTCTCCCCCCAGATTGTGCCTCAGAATAAGACAAGAATATCTCTACAACGATATTTTAAATAAATGCAAAGAAGGGAAACTAACACGGGTCACATTTACCATCAAGTTCTATAAATTTTGAGAATTAAATAATCTTGTGAGGTCCACAATGTCTACTCATTTCTTCAGTTCAATAAGAGCTTCTTTGAGCTGCCTTAATGAGGGAGGGGGAGGTAAAAAGGTGGGAAAGGGGTCTGTTTTCTTCTTCTTGCAACAAATATACATGTACACGTCCCCAGTCAGCATGGACTGTCTTGCTGACTTTAGCCATCTCAAAAGTATTTGATGCCAAGTGGTCCTTCTCAGGTACCCAAGCCTGACAGCCTTGTTCAGGCCAGCAGGTTCCTGTTCCACCAGCCAGCATCCTGGCTATTGTCCTCTCCTGGATGGCAACCAGCACACACTCTTACCGGGATAATGTCTTCTTTTTTTATCATCCTTTTCATCAAGTTGGGTTTTGTTTTGGGGTCTGTTATGCTCCAGACCAGGGAGGGGTGAAGGCAAAAGGTTCAGAAGAGAGAAAAGCAGGTGAGGGAAAGAAACTGGTCTAGATCTCTAGAAGATTATATGGAGGAGGGAATGGGTGTGGAGGTGCCCTGGTGAGGGTGGGGATGCGGGTGCGGGCTCTGAGTTTGTGCTTTCCCTGGCGGGCCTGCTGAGGCCGAGGCCGAGTTGGAGGATCTCATCTTAGTGTTGGGCAGTTTGTGATCTTTCTTCCACTTCATCCTCCGGTTCTGAAACCAGATCTTGACCTGGCGCTCCGACAAGCAGAGCGTGTGGGCGATCTCGATGCGGCGCCGCCGGGTCAGGTAGCGGTTAAAGTGGAACTCCTTCTCCAGCTCCAAGACCTGCTGTCGGGTGTAGGCGGTTCGAGAGCGCTTGGGCTCCCCTCCGTTATAACTGGGGTTGACTGAAAGCCCATAACCCCGAAGGAGAAAGCCAAGGAGGAGGGAGTGGAAGAGAGGGAAAGGAGGAGGAGAGAAAAGGTGGGGTGGGGAAGAGCAATTGGACATCATCATTATATAATAACCTGACACCAAGTTCACGCAAGATACATAAAACGGCAAAGAAAATGTTTCACAGGCTATTGACAACGGGAAACACCCGAGAGCCATAAAGAATGGTGCTGGGCATTGGGGCTGAAGAAAAGCTTCAAAGACACATGGCCTGAAGCCTCTGCCAGGGCAATTAAATTTATGGGGGCTATAATTACTGCCCTAACAGTTTGGCGTCTCGTAAATCTCCCGATAAAGGGACCCCGAGTACAAAAGGGTTCTCACGTTAGGATCAGGCGGCGGGCTGGCGCGCACACACCCACATCCCACTGTAGCTTGGGCCAGATGGGGGCTCCCCTCCCGAGGCCCCCTTCCCTTCTGCCTCGCCTCCTGACCCCCGCCCTGGCCCCAGCCCACCCTCCCGCGCCTCCCCAGCGGCGCCACGTACCGGCGCTGACATGGATCTTCTTCATCCAGGGGTACACCACGGGCTCCTTGCCCTTCAGGCCCGGTGGGCTCTTGTCGGCCAGGAGCAGCGGGCACGCGGGGGCGCTGGCCCTTGCCGGAATGCCCGGGGTGGCGGGAGCCGCCTCGCAGAGCCGCGGGGGCGCGGGGGGCGCCGC